GGTAGCTTCCCAGTGCTTGTAATGACTCCATTGTAGTTCCTTTCTGAGTTAAGGGTTCAGGGTTTAGGTTTGAGGGATTCTGGGTTAACAAGTTGTAGGGCTAAACTTTCTGTATTGAAGAACATGAGTAACTCTGAGAAGGAACTACAATGGAGACCACAGATATTGTGTACTTGTTGTCAGCAAGGACATACTTGACCCCTAAACCCTAAACCCTAAACCCTAAACCCTAAACCGCACCAAACCTTGAACTTAGTTAACCTGGGACCCTAGAGCCTACGCCCTGAACCTCAGCAAACCGACCCTTTGGGCCCCTTGCCATGATTTCCCCTCAAACAGTTATATACAGGTTACCCAGAAGCTCCATATATACTTAAAGCCAGGATAAGTATGGTCTTTTGGGACTTAATGCCATAATGGCAGTAAGTGTGGAGCCTCTAGGTTAATTATTTGGGTTTAGGCAAGCCCTGAACCCCGGACCCCACGAGTAGATGCCTAAGGCAGATGTTCTTGTTCTGCTGCAGGCTCCTACCCTAAGACTTAAGACCCTAAACCCTAAACCCTAAACCCTAAACCCTAAGACTTTAGACCCCATGAAGTCTACAGTCCAGGAAAAACCGTATTCAAGCCGCCACAACCCTATACAACATACCACAAATCTCCAGACGAAAAACCCGTCATTACTCGCATGAACGCCTTCTGACCCTAAACTGTTTAAACCTGAAGCTCCTTGGCCTATTAGGCACCTGTGACGGCTCCCAGGACCTAAACCCCATAAATCCTAAACCCTAAACCCCTAAACCCTAGGCAGCTGTGAATGCCCCAGGCCCGCAGAACGCAGTCTTCGACATCGGCGACTGCGGAGACGGCGGGGAAGATGAGGACCAGGCCGCCAGAGTCTTGCAGAACCCTGAGGTGCATGTAGGTGTAGTTGTCAAAATTATGGTCCCTTTTGGGGTACCCTAAATACTAGGTGCCGTATTATAATAAGGACCCAAAAAGGGACCATAATTTTGAAAACCACACATGTACCCAGTTTAGGGCTTAGGGCTCCTATGGTTTATAGGGTTTCGGGATAGTATACCTCGGTTTAGGGCTTAGGGATTATACCTCGGCTTAGGGCTCCTATATGGTTTATAGGGTTTAGGGATAGTATACCTCGGTTTAGGGCTTAGTGCTCAAACCCTGACACTAAGGGTCCAAAGGACCCAATAATAAGTTACTTCGGTTGCGGATAGTGGTTATCTGGGTTAACGTCTGGGAGAGTGTATGATTGTTAGTTTCTTGGACCTTTAGGGTGAGGTGCATGTACTCCCTATAGCATATACTTTGATCTTACTGCAGTAGTTCGTGTACAAGTACTTCAGCCTTCAGCCCCAACTTATATATACTATGTTAGGGTTTAGGGTTTAGGGTTTAGGGTACTATATATATATATATACTAATATGGGGAGATGATCCTTGGGGCTCGAATCCTTGAGCCCTATTTGTTTGTTTAGGGTTCCTTATCATGATTTCCTTATATGATCTCCTAGAAAATCAGACTGCGTGGTGTTGAGGTACATCCCGTGAACCTTGAGCCCTATGGGATTCTGTCGAGAGAGGCATTACCTGTGGCTCGAAAACTCTAAACCTAAACCCCTAAACCCCTAAACTCTAAATTGAATCCGAAACGAACGGACTCCCCGAATATTTTGAACCCCTCGAATCCCAAGCCCGTGAAAGCCCGATACCTACAGGCCGCAGACCTCAGACCGTAAACCCCAGATAGCCTAACTGTATATGGGTTTAGGGTTTAGGGGTGTAATTGGGAGTTCAGGGTTTAGGTTTTACGGTTCATGATGTCCTTATACTATTAAGTCCTGCAACAAGGTAGGGAATCTTCTTAAACCCTACCAGAAAACCTACGTACTTTCTCAGGAATTATACACTGGAACAACTATTAGAAGCCTTAACATGAGAGGACATTTAGGGCTCGGGTAAACAGAAAAGCCTAAACCCTAAACCCTAAACCGAAAAGCCTTGTATGCCTTGGGATTAAGCAGCCTCTGCCTCCAACTCCGATGCCTCAGTTTTTCGATTTCAGAAAACACAGCTTTAGGGCTTGGGGCTTGTTTAGGGCTTTAGGGCTGGGGTTCAGGGTTTAGGGTTTGGGGTTGAGGGTTTACGGGTTTAGGGTTTAGGGTTTAGGGGAGGGGGGGTTGAGGGTTGAGGATTTGGTTACGGTTTAGGGTTAAAGGGTCTAGCGAAGTTGTTGCCTTGGCACTTTGGTTACGTCAAAATCCAGAGCCCTCCAACCGCATGAAGTACCCCGAAGCGAAGCTTATCTACATGAAAAAAAACCCAAAAAGATGGAAACCAAATCAAAGACAAATCGTGCTAGGATCCCCTATACGTTACTCTTAAGGATTGAGGCTATTGGATTTCCAACTTCTGGGCTGTACCATATATACTTAGACTTTAAAGGGGGTCCTATTATGCGAAAGTTGTGGTGCCATTTGGCGTTTTTGCCTCTGAACTGCTCTCGCGGCTTTCAAGCGAGAGCCCAAACCCTAGACCCTCCTATGTTGGAGGCTAGATTCTGATGGCGAGAGGTAAGCATGTGGGCCCTTGAGGTCTATTTGGGACAGCTTAGGCCCTAAGGCCAAATGACAAAAACAACAAGCTCTAACGGTAATGTTCTCGGCCAGGTCGTACCCTAGCCCCTAAACCCTTAACTTAGATAGCCTTAAAACGCCGAAATCAGAGGCGGCATAATTTTTAAGATAGTAGGGTTGGCCTTCTAGACCAATCTTCCAGCTTAGCCCCAGAACTGCAATCCGACTCCAAAGCCCCAAACCCTCAGCCCCAAAAAAGTCCTAACCCCAGTTCTAAAATCTTGAAAACACCCCAAACCTCGTTTGGGTTACCTTTATAGGATCCTCTTTCAGCCAAAATATGGAGCTCAATAGGCACTACTTGGAGGATCATGGGACTACAGTAACTAGGGCTATAAATAACGCAACTGCACATATAATTACTTATAACCCCATTTAAAGGTACTTATATCCTTACTTACTACGGCTAATGATTTAAATCCTGCATTACCCATATTCAGGAATATCCTTAATTCCAATAATTTAAGGTCCTTAAGGTCATGCAGGATTGACATCATCAACCGTAGGTCCCATGCTCTCCCAAGTACACGTAAAGCCCGACACTGAACCGAAGCTGATCATCCGCAGGGATTCCTCCTCGACCTCGGTCCAGGGCTCAGTAGAAGTGGGCATCAGCAAGCTTCAAGCTTTAAGGCTTATAGGGTTTAGGGTTCAAGGTTTAGGGTGTAGTTTAGGGTTTACCTGGAGCGCCCAATGTGCTCCATTTCGACATGGACCCCCCAAGAAACTGGTTAAACCAGTAAAAAAACATACGCGGGCAAAAGGCCAACAGAAAACCAATTACAAATGATTCATCAGCAACATCCTGTGATTCTTCTGAATTGTGCTCGGTAGCAAGCTGCATGTACCAAACAGGCCCCGGGAAACCTCGATACCTCAACATAATTTTGCCTGTGTGCATCCTAGCAAGGCATGTGCTTGGCATGGATGAGAGCAAGTGAGAATTCAGAAACGACACATAAAACAAGCACCTGTGAAACAGCTGTGTCTGATGAACATGACCATGCATGCATGTGGCGGCCACATGCCATCGGGCCAATGGTGGAAGGACGGTCCGGGGCCCGGCCGAAGCTGTGGGTGAAGACGACATGTGTATTTGTCATGCTCCCGGAGGGTTTTGGCTTTGGCTGACAGATTGATTGAGTAGGTGAAGCTGCCATGGCAGCTAGGGATAAGAATGCCCCTTTGGCTACAGTGCCTACCTTCCTCCAAAAGCAGGGGAACGAAGCCATCTCTGATGCTCGCCGCCTTATCAAGGACTGCCTTAATGTGTCTGGGTGCAATGAATCAGTGAAGAAACAGACCCCGAGACCGGGTAGTGGGGATGGGGCGGGGGATAGTGGCAGCACTGCAGTAGTGGACTTATGCTTGGCAGGACGTCCGCTCGCATGCTGCGTGTGTGGCCAGGGCAAGAACGGGGTCGGTCATCGCCTACCCGGTGAAAGAAGGTGCTATCAATGAGAAGACGTTGAAATGCAACCACGACCTTCTTTCCCTGTACGCCTGGTTCGTCAGGAAATACCCAAAGCTTCACAAGTCCGTTACATTGCACAGGGTTGTCTTGAATGATTGTGCAAAGTTTTGGAAGAGCCGTGAAGGCGAGGAAGCCTTTGAGTATACGAAGTGGAAGCCTGATGGCAAGGCCATCAAGTCGTTGACTTTGTGCCTTCGCCGGCTTCGCTACCGGTCCAAGAAGCAGAGGGATCTTGATCTCTGTCAGCTTGCGGAGTCTTGGTTGGCTCTGGTTTGTCTAGTGCAATGTTTCGGTGGATGAGCTATTGCATGGTTTGTGGTGTGACGCATTAATGCATCTGCCGGTTGACGTATTCTCAGTTCAAGATGAAGCACCCAATCATGCATGATTTCATTGCTTCATTCATTCATGGGCTCATTTGTTCTAGCAGTTCATGTACCTATTATAAATACTCATAGGCCCCATGCAAAGGTTCAGTCTGTGACACGATATCATTCGTGTGATAATGCTTGAACATACATGAGATATCTGCATATGCAAAGACCGTTGCATACACATTTATAGAGAGACATGTAGATGTGAATCCGTATCTATATTCATAGGTACCTGTATACACACGTAGAAACATACACGTGCACACAGACACACCTTTAAACACGCACACACACATACACACACTATAGTCTATGCATGCATGTCTGTGTCATATGTACATGTCTGCAGGTGTACCATCATGCCTGATCCCAGCTCAGGATGAGATGTTTGGGGCCCCAGACCGTGGGGACGAGGAGGAGGCCGAGGGCGATGAGGATGACGAGGCCGAAGAGGCTTCGGAGGAGGAGACCGACGATGTGCAGGGTCCCTTGGACATGGAGGCTGATGCAGCTATCGCCCCCAATCCCATGGACGTGCAGGCTGATGCAGCTGTGGACCTCAATCCCTCGGACGTGCAGGCTGATAAGGCCATGGACCCTTTGGAGTGGGCTGCTCAGCGTTCACCTGCTGTGGTGGCAGAGGTTCTCTCGAGTCCAGAGGCGAGCAAGCAGGATTTGGCAAAGGAGCAGCTGCAAGACCGATTGAGAGCCCTCAAGCAGAAGATGGCGCTCAAGCGCGAGGACACGCAGCTGGTGCCGGCGGAAGTCCTGGATCAAGCTGCCAACAGGCTGAAGGCTTTGCCATCGTCCGAGGCGAGTGATGCATGACAAAGTAGAAGTTTGTAAGGTTTGTGTTTTAGACAAAGAAAATGCATCTTGTGACAGGTACTTTCCGTTTGCTCCCAGAGCTCCCTCTACCCTGCCTTGCATCGTGCTGGTCCACTTGCTTCTCACTCCGGGGAAAGTGGGCCGTCGGAGACTGGTGTGTGGCTGGGCCGCCAAATGATTTTGTAATTAATGTGCAGATGGGTGCCGGGTTGTGAGATTGTGAAAGCTGTTGTGCTATCGTACTAGAAATTGTATGTTATTGCAAGCACGACACTCATAAGTTGCTACACTTATAAAAATTATATATGTGTTTTAGATATGTGCATGGAATACAAGGGTGTGCAGCGTGCAAGGTTTGTTTTGTTCCATACATATTCGGGCCAACAGCCCATTCTAGTCATATGCGATCACTTACTTTTCCGTTGCAGTGCGGTTGCGGTTCAGAAGATTTGAAGTCCCAAAGGTTGCTCTCCCATGACACCAAGCCCGGGGTCATCGTGAGCGAGGATGCAGCTGAGCAGGGAAGGCTGTTCCGTAGGCCTTCGGCCAGTGACTTGGAAGGCCTTCGCTGCAACTTGGCGACCAGGTTTGCTGCCGAGGCGGCAACAGATGCCCGTGGCGAGTTGCAAGTGATTGCAAGACCATTGGCAAGTTCAAAGATGGGTTCCATCTTGGGGCCGGGCACACAAGACTCAAATCCGGATCTCATCCCAGAGCCCCTTCCAGTGCGAGATGTTTGTGTGCCCTCCAAGGAGACTTCCGCCCCAGACCGTTGTGTGGCCTCCGAGAAGACTTCCACCCCAGACGCTTGTGTGGCCTCCCAGAACCAGTCTAAGAAGCCTCGTAGGGACTCCCAGCAGGATTCCGGCCCCTCCAAGATCCCAAAGCTTGGTATCACCACCATGTGTGAAGCTACTTCCACCCCAGAGCCTGTCAAGGTCTCCCAGAAGGATCCCCTCCCAGAGCTTTCCGATGGGGACGCAGCAGGTTCTGCAGCCGATATTCCGGAGGTTCCTGAGAGCTTTACCAGGGTTGATCAGCGGAAGTTGCGGAGGAATCAGGTGGCAGCTCAGCGGAAGCGCAAGCATGGCGAGGATGAGCCCGAGGCTGAGGCTGAGGGTGAGTGCCATGAAGAGGCACCAGAGCCACGTGGACGTGGCCGTGCACGTGGCCGTGCACGTGGTCGTGGACGCGGCCGTGGTCGCAGTCGCGGCCGCGGTGGAGCCGTCGAGGATGATGAGGACAAGCCTTTGCGGAGCCCAGCCACAGCCGTAGCCCGGTTGCGATGAAGCGGCCAGCTGCCAAGGGGCAGGTGTCTAAGGCTGCTGGGGAGGCGAAGGCTGCCGGCGAGGTGCCAAAGAAAGCAGCCGGGCCGAAGACCAAGCCGAGGGCTGCCAGTGAGGTGCCAAAGAAAGCGGCCAGTCCGAAGACGAAGCCGAGAGCTGCCAGCGAGGCAGCTGGCCGGGAGGGTGGATCCGTGAACGATCTGTTGAAGCTCGTGTTGCAGGGCCTGCCCCTACTCAAGGCCCAGACTGCTGATATGGTCAAGAAGCGTCCGGACTACAACTCACGAGATGTACTCCCCATCCCGATTGAGCGCCGAGGCCCTTTGAAGCAGATTGCTGGCTGCACACGGCATGTATAAGGTTCTTGCATGTATACTTAGCACGATATTCCACAAGCCTTTCAGTCGATAGAGCTTTGTGACCTAGGACCTTTGACAATTGCTGCGACTTCAAGCTCGAGCCCTATTGGACTCGGTCCCACTGTGGCATTCGCTATGTACCCCTGGGGAAGCACATCCTGGTGGTTACGTATGCTTCCATGGCCGTGAACATTGCCTACTGCAATCATGTGGCAACCTGACTTGATGGTGTTGTTCGTGTGGCTAGATGTATAGTAGCCCATGCACATATGTATACTACAACATGCGGGTGTCTTTCATGTTCTAGCCATTTGTGATATTTAAAAAAAA